GAACTGTCTGTGTGGGGGCTTCCAGGGGATGGTGGGGAGTAGAAGGACAACATACATTCTGCACATACATTGCTACATTTTGGATTTGGAATTCATGTTCTAGAGGCACAATTTATATCCAGCCTCTCATGTGGTAACTAAGCCCAGCTATATATTCTCTGTGGGATTTTATTGTCAGAAGAGATTGTGCTTGGGGTATTCTACAGCTTCTTTTGGCACAAGCAATGCCTTTTAATAAATCTAGTGTGAATAAACTTAGTTTCCACATTTGCCCTGGAAAGTGGGGTGTATAGATGCAGGTATGCATGCCTAAAAACCAATAAACAGAGCAGGAGGAGGAGAGAGTAGTTGTTTGACTACAGCATAGGTTGACGTATTGGTATAGACCAAATTGAAGAGAGGTTTGGTGTGTGTGTGTGTGTGTGTGTGTGTGTGTGTGTGTGTGTGTGTGTGTGTTAGGGTTTCTGTTTACTTTTAAGGGAGACCTTAAAGTTCTCCAGATAGGATAATTCATTGTTTAAGGGGCACTATTAGGTTCACCAGTTACCCTGCAATGAACATCAATAATTGACAGAATATAAATTTGATATTTTGCAGAGTCCGTTATCATCTTTCTATACAGAACTTAGGAGCAAGGGAAATTGGAGAGAGGGGCCTGCTTTAGGTTACCTAGTAAATTACTGGAAAAGGTTTAACTAGCAATTTCTCAGCCACTTAGCATGGTCCTATGAAATAGGAAATAAATTTGCTATTAATCGTGGTAATAAATGCTAGGTTTTCTTATAATGCTGAATACCATCCTTTCTGAAGAATTTTAATGGGCTATATTTTCTGTACTTCTTTCAAATATTATCATTTGGAAGACAAAGTGGGTTATCAGAGATAGGAGTGTTGAATAGGATTGCAGGCATATGGACAGATCTTCTACTGCCACTGAATTACCTCCTGTTGGAGATGTTTTCAGAATGGAAGGCATCTGCCCAGTGCTGCACTAGTTATATAGCCTTTCCTCTTATATCTTCTGATAAAAAGCAGAAGGAATTCTAGGTCATCACAGTAGGTAGGTGAGGAAGGGAAGAACTGTGATTAGTGAAACATTGACAACTAGACGTTTACAGCTTTGAAAAGTTGCCTGCACTGGAGAAGGCCAGGCCGCAGTGCGAAGGGAGACTACTGTTAAGGAATGATGCTCTTCATCTGGTTTCTACAAATTTAGTGAGCAATGATGAATAAGATGTTGCCCTCAAATAGAGTAACCTCCAATGGGGAGGGATTCGGCCCTTTAAAAATGCTTTTAGGCAGACTGAGTCCTTAAGAGCCCCTTTGGTAAGATTGTAAAGTGACCTAATCCTGCGGAGATGGGAAGTGAAGCACAAACTACCTGCCACCGTCTCCATAGACTGGTTTAAGAGATGTGCTGCTCTGCGGGACCTCAAAGAAAAGGTCCCAATGACCTGGCTATTTTGTTATTTGTTTTCAAGAGATTTCAAGAAAGAGATTCGATTCAAAATGTGCAAGAATACTTTATTTTTATTTATTTAGAAATAATAAAATAAGACATAATATCTATATATATAGATATAAAAATTCTGTACAGTCCATGATTTGTGCAGTACATTAGGAAGACTTTGATACAAAAGGCTGCAAACAGGAAAATAGTAAGGGAGAACGATTGTCAAATGCCTATTGGTTTGTTCACCTTACACACAGCTGCAGGAAAGGAAATCCATTTATGAGAAGAGAAAGAGAGATCTCTCAGGTTGCCTGTGGGACAGCAACAATGCAGCACCCTCCTAGCTTGAAAATAGTCAACAGCAGCCAGATTTTTAAAGACATTACAGTACTTCTCAGTTTTACCTTGTAATCCCCCCTCCCCGCAAAAGACATAAGATAACAAAAATATCAGATTCAGAACCCTTTGACTTTACCCAAAGCATGTTCAATAGAATAGCAAAAAGTCAGAATGAACCATGTACTCAGGGAAGACACACACATGCAGTGATCTTACTAACTTTCAAAACTTGCACAACAGACCATGAATGGAAAAAAAAATAACAGTTCATAACCTTGGATGTGTCTTTTGTAACATGGTTCCATGTAAGTGGAGGGCCCCCATTCAAGTATTTTTTAGGGAAGAGGAAAATTACTGCTTGCCCCTTAATTCATGTTTGTGGCTTGGAGACTTAAGCGTGCAATCCACATTCCAGTGAAGTCAGTGGGAAATTTCCCATCGGAGCAAGTGGTGTTGATTGCACAACGAATCTGTATTCTTCAATACTTTGCACAATTGTCTCTTGCTATCAGTTACTTTAAAATACCTCCATTTATGTGGCCTCATAACAATAGTAAAACCTAGACTTAGCCTCCCAAGGTTCATTTGGTTTGTTTTTTAAACAATGATAAAGACAATTAAGGGTCAGTAGGTACCATGATATATATACAAAAACAAAAGGTTCTTCCTAGTCTCCACATGCAGAAACAATCAGGTAAAGACAAAGGGTTGCTTGAAGGAAAAAAATGTAATCCAACAAAGAGTGCAATAGGTTGTTCACTCTCACCAAGTCACTAGCAATCTGAAAGCAGATAAAAATGCCAATAGCAAGGAAAACACAATCAAATTAAACATCCATGCCTAAATAAATAACAAACAAAAAACCTCATAGCATTATAAATCCCATAAGGCTTGCAAATATTTGCTAAAAACCCTGCTATCCAGTAGCATCATAGGTTCTAACTGATGCCATCTTGGCCTTTTCTTCTCTCGTTTTCTTTTTTAAATGGACTTCTATTTACATTTGGCTTTAAATATGAAAATACTTGATAAACTTTATAAAAGTGTACATTTTTGTTTAAAAAAATTCTGAAAACGCAACACCCTGCATCTTGGAAAAGAAAAATCAACTTTGCACCAGGAAAAAAAAGAAAATATTCGTTTGTTAGAAAAATCCCTTTCTGTGTTTGTTTTTAAAACAAATAGATTCAACACTTTCTGAACTCACATTTCTATTTGCTGTCTCAAGTCTCACAAGTGGGAACTTTGTGCATTTTAGAGGAACTTCCTCCCTTCTTTGTTTAACATGTCATTAAATACTCTTTGGTTTTCACTTTATTTTCCTTTGCAAAAATATATCACAATAGCAGCAAAAGTCATGTTAAATTGCTTTCATGGTTTCTCTGATCCAGAGACTCCAGTCAGGTTGCCATGCAGATTTAGCTCTCCTCTTTTTCAGAATTAGCCTCAGTACGTGGTATATAAACAATATGTGGTTTAAGAGGAAAAGCAAACAAACCTGTCTATGTTTACAATATTTGATTTCTGCAGCTTAGAACCCACCTACTCGGCTTAAAGTAAATTCCTTCCTGTCTGGGAAATGCCATTTTTCTCCTGACAGGTCAGTTATGGCCCAAAAACTTCCATAGATCTTTATTACCAACAGCATTGGACCCAGAACAAGCTATTTTTAATGGCATACAGTGAGATTCAATACTGCAGAAGAGTTTTATCCCTTGGTGTTTCCCTCATCTTCCACCTATTGGGAGGACTTATATATCTATATCCTATGGGTGCAGCTAGAATGATACACTTGATCTTAGAGGCACAGAGGATTTTTAAAGCATTCTTGGCAAAGGAACCAAAAATACCGTCCAATTAATGGTTCAGCAATAGCTGTTCAAAGATTTCAGTACAGATCCACTGATCATCTCACCAAGGCTTATCAAGCTGTGAAAAGAAAGAGGAACTCTTTTACAGTATTGCTCCCTTCAAATGGACGATCCCTTAACTTACAATCTAGTCGCATGCATACATTCTCCACAACCCTAGTACTGGTAAGGAAAAGTTGACCAATCAAAAATAAAACTACCAAGATCTTGGCAACAGATTATGACACGTCAGTTACTTTTTTCTGGGACCAACCTGTTACTTTGCCCAAAGCAACCTGTTACACTCAAATTGGCCTCAACGGCTGAATTAATGGTTTTGCCAATGTTTAGCAAACCTTACTACATTAGACATCAAACGGATCATAACCTTGACCATGGTTGCCTTTGGTGGCCCTCAAAATGATGTAAAATGACATTCCACTTCTAATAGGGTTGTGTTCTGGGAGCTGTTTTGGAATGCATGCATGGCTTGACATTTGACTTCCCGCCACAATCTTGCTGGTATTTTGCAAACAGAAAAGAACGTAGGTTTGCTCTCTTTCATTCAACTTTTTTTTTCTAAAAAAAAAAAAAGAAAAAAAGAATCAGAAGCTTATTGCTCCAAACTGGGGCAATGGAGCAAAAAGAGGGCTCTTAAATGTATCTTAAGCTTTACTTTTGGAATAAGGTGCATTAAAACTACTCCACACATAAAGGACCTTTGGGGAGGAAAAATGGTCTAAAAGCAGCCTGTTCAATTTAAATAGAAAGTTCATTGTGCAAAACTGTGCATTTTTTCTTTGGTATTCACTTAGGTAGTTTTGAAATTAAAACATATTTTAGATGGAAAAAAATCTCATTCCATTCCTAAACACATTTAAAAAAAAACCTTGCTGTAGGCTACTGCATGGCCTCGTGTTACATAACACTCCTTATGTAACTGGATAGTACAGAGAGAAATTGATTCTAGCCACTAAACTACTGGCCTCAACAAATGTTCAGATTCCCCAGCATCACCAGTCACTTTGATTGATTGACAGAGAGCTTTGAAACTAGCAAGCTCAACACTGCATGTTCCCCCCTTTGTTTCATTTTGAAAAGGTGTGTGTGTGTGTGTGTAAATGAATACTACACTGCAACAAAAATAATTACTATTTGTGTTCATGCAGTTAGCAGCAACTTTAAAAAAAATAGTAAGGCAGTGTCTTGCCTTTGTTATGCCATTAAAAACATTCTTGTTCCCAAGAGAGAAGCACAGGGCAGGGGGGAAAATGACTAACAATATAACTCAACCAAAGCTTGCCTGCAAGTTCAAGTTTTGTAAAAAAATATATACATAATTTATTCTACAACATATATGTGCCTTCTAGTCATGCGTAGACATAGTGCTTCATGTTCCAAGTTCACACTTTTGCTGTACCTCCTGTGAAGACAGCACTTAAAAACCAGCTTAGGTTGACCCCTTAAGGGCTGTATGCCTGTCTCTGTCCAACAGTACCATTGTTTGAAAGACTGTTTGCAGCCACTTCTTGATACAGCATGCCCATGACCGACAGATATATTTTAACCACGGTGGCAGTCATGCATTTTAGTCATATTTCAGATTCTCGCCGTAAAGGTCTCGGCTCTAAGGGCACACCTGCTTGGCTGTGATGGTCCATGTCTGGATGTGTATCTGTGCTAGTGCTCTCTGGCACCCCATTGTCACTGTCATCTTCCTCTTTGCCCGTGAGGGCCACTTCATTCTCGTAGCAAAATGAATTTGCATTAGAAAGGATGTATTTCTTCTCTGCTAAGTCTCTGGCACTGCAAAGGGGTGTGTTCGGCACTTCATATGTTTTGTGGAACCTAGAATAATCCACTTTGTAGTAGTTCTTTTCTTCAAATAGTACAGGCTCGTAACGGTGGCCCCAGAGAATTTCATTTGCCAGATAGGAGCTACGGCACTGTGTGGTCATGGCAGTGGCTTCCACCATGCCTTCCAATATTACTACAATTTCAAAGTCTGCATTGTCCATGTCTTGCTTACTCAAGTCATACAAAGGGCTCTCTTCATCTATTTCATGGACAATTGTAATGGGCGAGACCAAGAATATACGGTCTATCCCACTGTCAAACCCAACGTTGATATCTATTTGATCTAGAGGAATGTATTCGCCTTCAGTGGTGATCCGAGACTTGAGAAGTTGGGCTCTCACATGCGCTTCCACCAAATGGCTTTTGCGCAGATTCCCAACCCGCCACATCAAGCACAGCTTTCCATCCCTCATGGCTATCACAGCATTATGACTGAAGATGAGAGTTTCATTTCTCTTTTTCGGTTTAGCCATCTTAGCCATGACAGCACCAATGATGAAGGCATCAATGATGCAGCCAACTATGGACTGGAAAACCACCATGAAGACAGCAATGGGGCACTCATCTGTGACACACCTAAAGCCATAGCCAATTGTTGTCTGTGTTTCAATGGAGAAGAGGAAGGCTGCAGTGAAGCTGCGCACTTCAGAGATGCAAGGTTTTTCCGTTACATCTAGGTCCCCGTGCAGTAAGGCAATTAACCAAAACATACAACCAAAGAAAAGCCACGAGAGGATGAACGCCAGACAGAAGATGAGCAACATCCACCTCCAGCGGATGTCCACGCAGGTGGTAAAGATGTCTGCTAGGTAACGCTGGCCTTTTTCACCCACGTTGATGAACTGAACATTGCAGTGGCCATCTTTTTTGACAAAACGGCTCCTGCACTGCTGCCTGGTGTGTACCTTGCTCTTCCCATTTCCAAAGCCATTGGCAACTGCCATGGTTGCCAGCTTCATTCCGTCCTCTTCTGAGGAAACTATGCTGTAGCGGTTGGTTCGCACGCTGCCCATTGCTTCCGCTGTGGACTGTGGTGCTTCTGCTTTAGAAAACAGTCTGAGTTTCTGCAAAACCCTTTGAAGAAACAGTTTTGAATGTTCTAGTGGAACACACTCAGAGGAGAAAAAGGGAGAAGCTGATGCCTCCGTCAACTCTTGCCAAGGAGAGTCTTCCAATATTCAGAGCTCACTTAGCAACTTATCATCTGCCACAAGGAGACATGGCCTGGAATAAGAGGGAAAAAAGTGTGTGTTAGCAACCGTTTGAAACACAGCTCTTTTTTTCTGACTCCCACATGGGGGTCCCCAGGCCTGATTGCATACTAACAATCCCAACCTTGTTCATTTAAGGAGCACATAATTCAGGAAATGGCAACTCAACATGACTGGACAGTCAGACTCTTCATCTTAAAGGGATGTTATGCCAGATAACTTATGGCTCTATATTTTAGCATGTACGAATGTACTCATTATATAGGGTATCATCTTGAAAGCAATATGATAGAAGGAAATTACACTGACACTGTAGACAAAGTTCAAAAAAGGGGGTTGGCAGCCTCTAACCACTGCAAAAGCAAGTATGCAAAACAATACTTTCCAAATTGTCCAGTAAAAATGTCCTCTTGGCATTAACACCAGTTAATCTTAGCCCAGCCTTTTGAAATTCCTGGAACAGAAAGTCTTTGAAGTGATATATAACCCATTTTAAGGTAGTTTCAATATCCAAGTCTCTTAGAAAGCAAGCACTCATTTTTATTTTTGCCATTTCAGAAATGAATCCGTAAAACTCTGAACTGATGATGAGCATGAAATCATTTAATAGTAGACATCTAACAGAATAAGCGCAAAAATGGCAGTGGAGCAAATATGGAATATGATAACTTCAGGGACATCTAAGTGACATCCATTTTGAATTGCGGAGTAGATCAGATGCATCAGTTACTTGTCTCTTCCTTAAAGCCAGTAAATATAAATGAAATAATCAAGCATATAGTATCCTGTTCAAGCCAAAATATTGTAACCACTTACACAGACATTTAAATGTTGCATGCATTTTTCAAGATCAGCACAGTCAGTCACGTGCAACAATGAGAAGCCCCCAGATGAGGATGCATGTTGTTATTAAAATCAGAATGTACACCTGAATGGACCCCCAGCCACTCTGGAGCTAATCTGCACCCACATTACCTCTGCGTTTAAAAGCCACTGTCGTCCGCTAGATCCCCCTTGCTTGATCAGAACATAGACTTTCCTTAATTTCAAGAGAATACACAGATGATGATGATAAATACCACTCAGAATAGACTGAAACATGATGAGTAGCTGGAGAGAATGAATAAATTCTTGAACTTGCAAGATTAAAGAGCTGTCATGTATTTTGGACTGACTCATATCCCTAAATGTGTGCATTTTTTAAATTAAAAAACCTAGCTAGCACTGATATGCTGACAGATCAGCATGACTTAGTCCAAACTATGTCTTTTGGCAGCACCCAACACACAAGTCTTATTCGAAAGTGCATTAATTCTTCAGTTATGGTATAACATTAGAAATTTAATTGCTTTATACTCGAATGATTTGCCTGCAAGGCAAAAGTACAGTTTTGCAACAGTCAACAGTTTTGATCTTAGGTCAACCAATATCCAATCTTTAAAGGAAAAACAATTTTCAATGTTCTCTTTGCATTATTTTACCACTAGCATATAAATGTGTTCCAAACATCAGCATAATTGCTAGCCATATGCTCCATGAAAGACATGTAACTTTTGTATTGATCTACAAATTAATCCTTGTCAGCAATCACATCAAATAACTGCCATCATGATGCAGTTCTATGTTCTAATTGCATTTGTGTACATACTGAAGATATTGCATTTAATGGAAGAAAACTAGCAAGTTTTAACATGTGAAAGGCTATCTATGAGTCTTTGCAAAACCACCTTGGCCACTGGGTATTTGATCAACTTCCAAGCATCACTCAAACTTAATACCAGCTTCCTATGAAATGCTTGCTCAATTTAGAACCCTAGAAATAGCACCAAGTACCTATTATTGGCAGATTTCCATTACCAGTAATAGTAATTGTTCCATATGTTGCACATTTGCAAGGTATTTAGCTAATAGAGTTTAGTTTCACCACTGCAAGCATTATGCCTTTTGAACACAATATGCACAAAGGATGATTAAAAATGGTCCTTAAACAAAGAGCCCGGGTGCAACACTTTCCAAAGTTTATAGACTGCATCTGGGTCTTTATGCAACAAAACCCTTACATACTACATATAAACACACAGTCTTGGTTATAGAATAACTATCTTCTTTCTTTTAACAGCACAAATGGACCATATCTGCTTTAAGTAACTAGGATACAAGCAGGAGGTGTGAGATGGGAGGTTAACATTCACAATGAATCTCCAAGGATGACAACAGCATATTGCTAGATGCAGAAATCAAGCTCACAAAATCAATGGCAGAAATTGCACTATTTATCCAAGCAGAATGAGGTCCTGGAAGTATTCAGGAGATACTTGTATGCTTCTTTTACATGCATGATTTTTATGAAAAATGCATGCATAACAGGCCTACTACACTGTCACTCTTATTAGTTCTCTGCCAAATGGAAATTGGAGTGAGTCAGGATTAAGCTCTTCACTAGCATATAATTCCTTAGCAGTAAAAGAATGCTTTTCTTAGCCTTAGGAGAGTCTGCTCTTTTCCTCCCCTTCTCTAGCTGCCTTTTAGACACACACAGACACACACACACCTTCCTTCAAAAATGCAGACCTCCACATCAGCCTCTCTGTCCAAAGTAGATATCCAGCATCATATCTGGCAAGGCACTTTGCTCACGTAGCTGCAGATGATTTAGCATGCAACCTTGCATTACCAATGCTTCATGTAAAACGAGGTCATACTACTGAAAAGTTGGACACACGTCTGCAATTTGCCCCCACCGTCCAACAACCTGTCCCTGCTTCTCTTGTCCACCACCAATCTTCCCTCAGCTTGGAGAAAACCCAAGTTGAAATCAAGCCCATATGCTAAAGAACTATACTGCAGACCTGGGTCCTCACACCCAAAATATGATTAAGATTAGCATCTTTGTGAGTGAACCCACAATTGCAGTGCTAATCTTATAGTCATTTTAAAAACACCTGCATAATTGAACTAGCCTGAAAAAACTTAAGTATTCATGATAAACAACCTTTACCCTTCTTGCCAGTTCAGTAAAACAGAACAGACCTATACACCAAGGGGGGGGGGGGCACGTAGGTGTTGACAGATGGAGAGGGAAGCAAGGGGAAAGGATGAGGTCTGAATATGAGCAAGCTGCCTCTCCTAAAGTTGAAGCACATGCACATTTAGTGGCTGAAAACTGCAATGATCAAATAGGAGAGAAGCAAGTTGAGCACACAGGCTGATCGGAGAATTCAGATGTTAAAAGCGAAGCCCTGAGAGCACGAGAGGGAGGGATCGTTAATGAGCACACAACAGTTATTCCCCAGTTGTCACCATACATCTCTGCTGAGGCTGTTCAAAGCACATGTTGCTAAGTGAACCGAACTGCTACCTTCCTGTGGCCTGGGTAAACAGAATGGCTGTGGAGCTGAATGCAGAGCAAGGATCAGAGTATGCGCTCCTCTTCAAGGTGCTTGAGAGTCTTTTTAATGTCTCATTAGTGGCAGTCTATCCATCACAGTTCCACTCCCATTTTTTTTAACCGGGTTTTGTTCATACAGAATGCAACGAGTACTCTAGCATTTCACCAGGAAACAATCAGTTTTCTTTCCAGAAATAAAAGCACTAAGAGCAAAGAAGCTAATGTGTGTGAGAGCCAAGGGGAAAGATGAGTCCTCTGATCTGAGAGCCTGCTTCTTTGGAGACGATGGGAAGATATTTCTAGATGATGACAAAGTAACTACAAATGACAGTCATCACCAGGGGGTGTCATTAACAAGCTGCTCATGAGGATGGAAAAGCAGAGGACCGCAAAAAAGGTAAGGCACAGAATGCAGCTTAAGGTGCGGGGGGGAGGGGAGGTAGGTGCACTGGGAGGGGAAAGTATTTTGTGGCATTGTAATGATAAAGAAGAATAGATACACTTTTATTCAGCTGCAAGGTCTGCTCCTAGCTCTAAACATTCCAGCAACAGCACAAACTATTTTCAGATGGCAAAGTCTAACAGGCTATAGCAGAGCCAAAATGATTTGTTCTTTAGCTTTTAAGGGGAAAAAACCGTCTATGAATCAAGCTTAAAGTGATGCAATCTCTCCAAAATTCTAAGTCGCTCACCAATCATTTGTTCTTCAGTTCTTGCTCTTGGTACAAAATAATTAACAGCAGCTTAAAAGAAGAAAAAGAAAAATCCACAAGTGGTTCGATGCATCTTGGAAAAAAAACCCCAACATGTGGTATTTTTGATTGTTGTGAAAGATGTTTTAGAAAGCTTCAGGAGGACCTAAGGGTCTACATGCTGTGACCTTTTCCTGAGTCACAACGTTTTTGCAATCACAGGCAAAAAAAGGAAATAGCAAAAATAATCCAGAGCGCAGTGTAGCTGGCAGCATTCTTTGCTAACTTCCATCCAGAACAATTCATTGCAAAGGCAGCTCGGCGCAGTGGAAGTTAAGAGCACGGAATAACACTCAGCAATTCCAAACAAATCTACCTGGAATGATTACATCAAATGTAGAGACTGAACTTGCTGATTTAGGGGTCTCCCCTGCTTCTAGCAAGCAATGCAGTTTTCTTCTTAAAGAGGCATTCAGACATACTGATCTGTGGGACTATACATATATTCGTTTTGCATCGAAGAGTAGCAACTCAGAAGTTCTCAGAAGACATCTAGAGAATCTTACTTCCCACCCTCCGCTCCTGCTAGAGGAAGCTAATTGTTAGGTCGAAAAGTAAATCTTCCTTACCTGTCGGTGAATTTAAAGCTAGGCAATTAATATTGTTAAAAGAGAGTAAGATCCAGTGGTGAACAAACCATGCCCAAGCTCCCTAGCCTCAGC